ATTGCACTAAATGTAAAGTGGGAATTATTGAGGAGTATACATGGGAAATATTATTTGAAAATGAAGATTGACTTATAAACTGGTTCTAGCAGTGCAAGTGCATTGTGGTGAACTAAATAGAAATATTGTTAATAGGATGTGAATGAGGAATAAGGAAAGGTAAAGTATGGGTATATATATGAGTATTGAACATACTAATCATGCATCAAGAAAAAGACAATGTATAAGGGCAAGATGATAGTGTGATAGGGAGGGGAAGGGAGGAAAGGCAAGATGAGGGAAATTGAGATATGATACAAAGAGGCGGCAAAGGGAGGGTGGGATGGCGCAAGCAGGCAATAGGCCAGGTAAACAAAGGTTGTACTCCGACAAGGTGAAAACGTGCTGCGGCTATGTTAGGATGTAGTCTCGAGCTAGTAAAAGTAGCATTTATTGTCGGGTTCGTCGTAAGAACCCCAATTTCACCCAGCCTCTCACTGCCACTAGATATAGACTATCTCTTTTCCTTTTTGGCTCGATCTTTTCCATTCAGTATGTCTCGATCTCCTGGGTGCTCCCTCTTCCCTTCCTTGGGATATATCTGCGGCCTTTCTGATGCGCTAATATGACATTCTGTACATGGCGATGATTTCCACTTTGGAAAGACAACTTTTTCTTCGTTTTTATTTGTTATCATTTTCAATACCAGATGTCTTCTATAAATGAAACTCATTAACACAACAGGGCAGATGTTTCTTTCGCGTCTTCGCGGTTCATTTTTCTTTCTAACCTACAACTTTTTTTGTACATCTTTGCGCTCACGTCTTCTCTGTTTTTGTCTAGTTCTGTCTCTTTTTTTTCCCCTGCTGTGTTCGGGCTTCTCTTCCTAACTCGTTTGTCTTTTCCTGTGGCCTTAACCTGTTTACCTTCCTCACCGTCGTGTGCGCTCTGACTTCCACCGTTCCCCTCAAGTTTTGACATTTCACAACACAGCGGTCTAACGCTAAATTTTCTGTTCAGAATTACTTCCTGCTTTTGTATAATATAAAACGAAAAGGAGATCCTACCACAGATTCACGGACACGACTAGGTACAACTATTAGCCTAGTCAATATAATTGTATTGGTTATGTCCTGTAATGGTAATGCAATCCTGATATTACTTCCGATGGCCGTACGTAGGTTAAAGGCCATGGAAGGAGAGAATATAATAGTATCACCAACTGATAAACCAGAGATTTACGTCATCTTCTATCGTCCTATACTTCTATCTCATCCGCGTCCTTGACCGTGCGTTAGCTCGTGCTCTTGGAGAGGCAATAGCTGAACATAGTAAATTATATTCCTTATCGCTATCGTTTAATATTCTGTGTCACTTCGTCTTAAGTGGGAAAGTGAGGGACGAAATCCAGCCGCGCGCCGAGCCAAAGGTGAAAGGAAGTGCGTAGATCACTATTCAGACACTTTAATTCGCTCCTCTATTTTTGCGGCTGTACGCAGTTGTACGGTTTAGGTATAATGAACCTGATCGCAAGCAGTCCGAGTTAAATGTACGGTCGGCGGCACACCCCATGGCAAGCGGCACCACACATAACAGCCTTTTAATAGGCAGCCAGAGAGCGCAGGAATGAAAGGATGGCGAGAGAAATAAAGATAGGGTAATTTGCTATAGTACACTGACATAGCGGCGTCGGCTTTCTAATTATGCGAGCTAGCTAGGCGAGACGGGGCCGTACATCGCTGTCGTCTACTCGTATCTCGAGTATATCGGAAAATAGCCGTTGTTCTAATTAATACCTTCTTGTTTTGCTGCCGAAGCTCGGTACCGTGTTCCTCTTGTGGAATACTGTCTTGCTTCTGTGCTTATATCGACAGATGAAGTAATCGTACTTATTTTATGGTTTCTGTAGATCTAAAGACACGGAAGTCACTTTTAAAAAGGAAATAGAGAGAGTTAAAATAATCTTTATCCATCTATCGGCTAGAGATTGAGCATAACTTTTCTCAGAACAAAGCGAGTGCGCACACACCGTAAACTGGAGACAGTGGAATACATTAATATGTATGTAGATATACGGAATTGTCTGGGCTACAGGCAATGATCGTTCTGGTATCAGGATATTTTTTGTGGTGGCTCGTATGTTTACTAAATATAAGATATATTTATAATATATATCATTTTGTATAAGATTATAATATACTACTACCTATCATGAAGGGAAATATATATATCCCATATACAGCACTTACTTATAAGGTACTGAGTTAGCGCCTCAACACACACACAACACACTTACGAGCTATAAGCACACCGAGCATCTAACTGCTCCACTCTATAGGATATATATATTAAGTATATATATATATATATAATATATATATATATATATTGTGTATATATATATATAATATATATATATAGTATTTATATTATGTATGTATAACTATAAATATATAGTGGACATAAAGAGACTAATTGAATGAAAAGAAACTTACAATAAATTCACGTATTTAGGTCTATTTATATGGGAATGATGAGGTATATATAAATACACTCAAAATTATTATTTGAGTATAGTATTTGAAAATAGGTGAGAGATATTAGAAAGTAATTAGTGTAGTGAGAGAGTAATGTCATGATATAGTTTTAACTATAGATGAATCGATTATATGAATTGAGAACACTAGGAATGTTAATATGAAAGGAATCAAATGGTAATATATAGAGTATTTAGGTTGGTAATTGCAGTGATTAATAGATTAAATTTATAGTTAAATATATATGTATATATAGTTATAATATTAATACTATATTAGTTATATAATATCGTCTGCTTATATCTACCATAGATATTAATATATACATATAGTTTATGTAATGATTTGTGATTAATTACGTATATGTATATATGTGTATATAATATATATATACATATATACATATACATATACAAAGCACAAACTACCTAATTTAGTTCATATTAGCATGCATATATATATATATATGAGCGATATATATAGCGACTAGCGCTATGATAATAACAACTATATACTACTAAAGTACAAATTTTATAATATATAAATATAATTATATAATATATAATTATATAAAAATAATTCGATTGATTGATTGATGTAGGTAAAGCTGGATGGATAGTTAGATAGATGGATGGATGGATGGATGAATAGGCTTTATGGGCAGAGAGATGACTGAACAGGTAGGTAGGTATATAGAGGAACACATAAAAAATTAGTTAGGAAGACTCTTATGTTGTTAGGTAAATAGATTAAATGACAGGTTAATCTCTAGCCAGACAAATGATTCTAAGATGACAGAGATAGGATAGATAGATAGATAGATAGGATGGATATTTAGGATAGAGATAGGAAATATATACTTAGGACAGAGATAGGAAATAGATACATAGATGAGTAGGTACTTTAAGAGAGAGCTAGATAGATAAGTAAATGAATCAGAAAAATGGCAGGATATGAAATATGTGAGATATAGATAGGAAGTTGAGAGAGGTAGAGAAAATGAGACTTGCTAAGAAAGAAAAGATAGCTCAAAGACAGTGATGATTTGTGTGGTTATTCCATATTTTTCTTGTAATTATCATTAATGCTTATTGATTTGTATAAGCAAAGCAGGGATGCTGTAGAATTTTACTGTATGTGTAAGTCTTCCACGGTTTGTTTCCTTCCCAGAATTTTGTCTTGTGGAAAGTAACTTCAGAAAGATTTACTCTCCCACCTGTAGTGATTAGTTAAAGAGATGAACTATCCTAAATTATATAGCAGTATGCATGAAGTAGTAAACTAAACTAAACTTGTAAGAGGATGCTGTAAAATGAAGTTATTCTTGTTCTATGACTAAAGATCTAAAACTGTCTCTCCTGCTAAACCTGTATCTATTTTTATGTGAGAGAATCAAGTGTAAAAAAAAAAAAGAATACAGTGTATGTTGGTCATGTTTTTTTCTGTCAACATACATATGTATTCTCTGTCAGTATCAGTGATAAGAAGTAACAGGAACTGGCAGCTTTACAAGATTATGACTCAGTGCAAAGACATAACGCTTTTAATGTGAAAATTCATAGGTCTTGCTTTTGAGTCTACAGTACAGATTTTTGGAAGATGTACATTCATATGTTGCTGCTGTTAACCCACTAACAATGGGTGTTCCACATATGAGACACCCAAAAAAATAAATATTGCTGAGCGTCCCGCCAGTGTGACGCTGTATCGGGGCTCGTGTTCCGACACAGCAGCGGGCCGAGATGGGCAGAGTCCGGGGCAGCCCCGCCCGCCGATTTTGTAGCCGCCCGTAATCTTTTATTTTCGGCTTCAAAATATACTGGCGTTAATGGGTTAAGCTGTAAGAACAATTCATGTCAAAATTTCAATCTCTGAGTACAGATTTTGATTTCATATAAGAGCTATATGATTGAATAGTGATTATGCTGATACTAGGTATTATGATGAGGTTTGGAAAATTGCAGTTAATAGAGATAAAAGGGATTTCAGAGAAGAAAGTTACAGTACTGGAAAATTTTAATAATTAGTTTTGAATTTGCATAAGGACATCAAGATTTTTATAAAATCATGATCTAAATGAGGTATATACATCTTTCTTATTTAGATTTGAGAAATATGTGGAGAGAAAGACAATTACTGAAGATATTTACACATATAGGGTATTTGTGTAGGTTATCATTTGCTGTCTATTTTTTTTTTAACCATATGTGTAAAAAGCTTTTTAAACTTTTTTTGTGCTATATTTGTGGTATCAACATTTTCTGTCAACAAGATAGGTTTGCCTGGAAATATTTTTGTGAAATTACTTAACCAAATGGAGAATTTTTTTTTAATCTAATGAATCATTTTTTTAAAACATAGTATTGTGAAGTTAATATAAATATTTTTTTTTCAACTTGTTATAAAAAAAACAAACAGTTAAAACATGTTCATATGCTGAAGTTTATTAATATCGCTTCTCTGTTCTTCTTTCCTATTATCCTTCTCTCCCTCTTATTAACCTGCCAATGATATAACCAATTAATGCACTATACAACCCTTGTTCGATGGTGGTGTGATTGGGCCTATTATGGTCTTATTACCACTGCTTTATGTCCATGAGTTGCCTAATTATACCTGCTCTTAACATCTATAATGTGTTGAATGTCTTTGATGGTATGTGAATTAGTTTGGATGATGAGATTGTGCTAGAGAATATGTATGTTGTTGTTCCTAACTCTGATAGACCTATGCCTATTTCTGTCGTTCACATTCCTAATAAATTATCTTCATCTTCCCCAAGTCCTTGGACCAGCCCACACTCAGTTTTAGGATGCAGCCCAACATATTCACCTCATAACCCATCCTATCATCCGTCTCAATGGCTTGACCTTATGGTTAGTCCAGTGGCAGATCATTCCAAGTCACTGCCAGGCCAGTTAGCTCTGACAAGTGCCAAACGCATGATTCGTGGTCTTCCCTTAGTGAGACGCAAGAGAAGTTCCACAATAACACAACACCCTCCAGTTTACTTGCAGAGAAATACATCCCTGCCACATGCAAATTGCTCTAGAACCTTTGGCTGTCGCAGACCTCACAAGGCTAGAGGGCCCTGGCCAGTGCATGGTTTTCAACACAGACAGCAACCCATGTCTCCTACTTGGACAGGTGTGCGACAAGATAGCATAGAGTCTCTGAGAGCTGGGCTTCGTAAGACAGCTCAGAAAGTTATGAGGCTTCGAGGACTTGAAAAGTCACAAAGCTTTGATGTTAGTGGAGTTTATTGTGGAAAATCTGCAAGTAAAAGTTCTCAAAAATCTGCTCCTAAAGTACATAGCCCTATGGTAAGACTGTTGGGTCGAGGTCAGTCATGGGTGAAGCACCAAAATGTAAGAGATAAGAATGAGGGTTCCATAACTTCTCCAGAGGACTCAAATGAAGACTATGATCTTGATTCTCCTGATGTAGAAGTCATAGGCCTGGATGAAGAGGAAGTTAGTCAGTATTCGGATGAAGAAGACATTGGTCCTGAAGTAACCAATATAGAGTACTCATATAAGACCTTATCAACAGCCTTTTCAGATCCAACACTGAATAAGAGCATTTATGCTAAAGAAAGTTTTGCTGAAAATGAAACTTCACCAGGACCGTTGCAATTTATCTCTTCAGATGAAGATACATGTAGTTCAGAGCTAACATCAAATTTCAGCAGTCCAGAACATGTTGTAGGGTTACCAGGAAGTGAAATCCCAACACTAGGTACCCCACAAAAATTTTTCATCAGTGAGGAAGAGCTAGCTTCACAAAGTTCTATTGAGAGTCATTTTACAGGTCCTGTAGATGTTAATGACTTGCACCGGGGTTTGACCCGTTCTTTGAGTGACTCAATCAGGTCCTGCAGTGAGATGTGTGGATCCGCAACACCTGATGCTGAATTTGGGCTTACATCACCTGTTGTGCCTCAGCTGGGTAATGCTATTCCTTATTGTGAAAAATGCAATACATTCTGCAATAAATGTACAAGTTTTGAAGAACCTGTTGTTGAAGGTTTAAATCATGAAAATGGAGAAAGACAATGTGATAATGAGGACACAATGCTGGAGAGGAAGAGTGGATTGTGTATGATCACAACAGCCCAAGAATTCATCCAGTCCGAGAGAGAGAAAAACATTATTTTAGAAGAATCCCAGCAAGAAGAAAGACTGGTTGTTACATCCGGTTTGGATTATAACAATAAACCAGAGATCCTTAGTCTTGAACTTCTTCCTGTAAGAGAACCATTTTTAAAACAAAATGATGAACAAATGACCCATGTGAACACCAGCCCATTACCTGATATTGCAGTTACTCCTTCAACTCCCATTCTTCCTGCAAAAACAAAGGTATTTACACTTCCACACTTACAGCAGGGAAATGCTGCATCAGACAATGACAACTGCATAGAGGTAGATGCAACAAATAAGAGGCACTCGTCTTCTCTGTGTATATCACCCTGTGTAAATGTACAGAATAGCCTTCCTGTGTCCACTTCAAGCCCAGCTCTAACCAGTGGTACATCTCAAATACCAAATACCATACAACCACATTATTTGAAACCTTCATCCACATCATCCTCATTCAGATCCTCTGTTTCTGCATCGTCAAATCTGTCCTCATTGTCTTCCTCTTCCTCTTCCTCATTTCATCATGTAGCAAGTAGTCAGAGCATGGATAGCAGAGACTTGCTTCAGTGTGCTTTAGATGTAGCAGCTAAGTGTCCCTCCCATCCTGTGTACATCTCTAGCCTAGACATGTTAGTGGAGGCCCGGCCCGGCTCAGCATCGATGGTAGGCTCCCCGAAGCGCTCGTCTCGTAGTCGCCATACTAGTGGCTGTTACCCCGTGTCCAGGAGCCCCTTACCCATTGAGAGTGACGGATCCAAGAATGAGGCTGGTTCAGTGGGATGTGCTGCCACCAATGGAAGCATACCAACACACTCCCCAACGCATTCAGGAAAGCTGGCCAGCCCTGCACGAACACCGGGAGTCTCTATCAACAGACGCTCATCTGATTCTGACCTTTCCATCACTCCAAAGGGTAAGTTGAGGTTGCAGGTCCTTTTAGCTATGGGGGAGAAACATATATTACATAATTGATAATATTTTTCAAAATCTGATATATCAATTACAGTAAATTAGATTAAAAATTAATTGAAGATTCAGTGAAATAAAGGGAAATGTCAAACTGTTGTGTACCAATTCATAGACAGTGGTCATGTGTTTTTTCTAAAAAGCCTTCAGTGTCATGTTTGACCATTAGATTATGCTTTAATTCTTATTTCATGATTACCTCTCAGTTGATAGATATGGAATACTTAATCAAAGGTTAAAAGAAATTGTACAAGTTTATAGTGATATTATTGATAATCAGTGAAATTGATTGTATTATAGATAATACTAAAATTGGTATTGTCTTTTGCTTATGTGAGTCAGTATGGTTATTATTAGTGATCATTTTCTTTGAGAAATATGCAAGGTGAATTAAATATTTCTTTCCTGTAGCAAATTTCATTGTTATAGAAAACGCACTAAGAAAAGGACCGAGAATACAATCAGCTTGACATGGGGGCTGAAATTTCTTTGCTTTATGTGATTGGTTCTCAGTAATCCTTTCATTGGCAGTTAACTGATGTATTGATATTTGAGGTTAAACATTTATTGGCTATTTATTACTTTTTATTTTATAACCTGAACAGGTGGTAGCCTAGCAGGTAGTGGTGGATCATCAGGTGGAGGTGGAGGGGGCAAGGGGGGGACAATGACTGGAATTCACCGACCTATAATGACACAGGATTCTTTTGATCTACTTGAATACCCCTTCCTCACCATGAAAAATTTCCCAACTGGATTCATCCTACATCTTGGTAAGGAACAGTGATAGTAATTACCAAAAGAAGAATTATCATAAAAATGTATCAGCACAAATATCATGCAGATATTGCATGATGGAATTTTGTTGATGAGACTGAGAATAAAATAATTTGAACTAACAGGTGGAACAGTGAGCGCTCGATCGGTGAAGCTGCTTGACCGCACTCACACCCCAGAGGAGTTAGAGACACGGGACAACTGGTGGACACAACTGAGGATGGAAATCCGCTCACATGCCCGTGCTCTTGCATGCAATGTTGTCCTTGGATATGAGGAGTTTACCACAATTAGGTAAGAAGATGTGCTCATATTTAGTTGAATAGAGTATGCATAATTGTGAGGGGGTTATGCCTCACTGTTACTGTTGTTTGATGGATATGAAGAAAAGACAGGATTTTTTCATATGCATGGAACCTTCATAAAACCTGAGGAATGAAGCATTTTCAATTGTTTATTGCATATCTACAAACTGTTGTCTCATGAGTGTATTGGTCAGTGTAGAGATTGTGAACTTCATAGATTCAATGAAGAAATGTCTTTTTTGTGTTGTATTGACTTACCATTTTCAGAGATTATATAACTCTTTAGAAAGCAATTACACCAGCTATCCCCGTCCTCCCTGCTGCAATTAATGCCTGAGATATGTTTCATCATGGCAAAGTTTGGTCTTTGATATTTTAGGAGTATGATTTCACATGTACATGTCAACAAATACATATGCCACTGGTTTATATCAGTTACAAAGAACGGGGTTGCCACAGTTACATCAAGGGTAAAATTGCAAATAAAACACATATAAAGTAAAAATCATATGGTATTCATACAAACAAAAGGATATTTTATGTATTCAGTTGTGTAAATTGTAAAAAGACAAAGCAATACAACGAAGTGATAGTAAGATACATCATATTTCCTTTTCTAGAGGGGAAATGAGGGAGAGAAAAGGATGGGAAGTTTGGTTGGATGAAATGTGTTATATAGTACCAGGATTACTAAACATGACAGGAACCAGGGCTGTTTGATTGGCTCAGTGAGTTAGAGGACTAACAAAAGGAACAGGAATATGGGGATTGTATAGTGGGTGTGGCTGGAGGAAATTTGGCAAACAGTACCAGATTTATGGATTTCGTTTCCCATGAGATAGATGTAGAATAACAACCTGCCAGTTTTTGACGGTGCACAAGATGATGCCATGATCGTAGTGATTAGGACTTTATAGGTTAAATGCTGAAACTAAAGGAACTCTTTAGCTTCATATACTTTCAGTCATATTGAATGGGATATGATTTTTTCAGTGCCTGTAATACTGCATTGACTAGATTTATTTATTTCCCAGTAGCAGATTTCATTGTTATTAAAAAACACACTGCTTAGATATCATTATTGATTATCTGAAAAAGAAAGGGAAGAGGAAAGGATCAAGAATATATTTGAATTGATATTTTAAATCTTAATTTTTTACATATGGTCTGAAATTTCATTTTGTGTAAATGGTTTTCTGTATTCCTTTCACTGGTCATTTTGTGTTGTTATTTAGTTGATAACACAAAATTTGTTAAAACTTGCCATTACCTTTTTATCCTTATAAAATATTTGGCTGACTATCCCCTTTTTATCCATTAGTGATGAAGTGTGTGTGCTCAATGCAACTGGCACTGCTGCCGTGATCAGCCTACACTACCTTGATACTGATACTGGCATGGGAATGCATGGCAATGTAAGGACTCATAGAGATCCAATGACTCTGTCACTGGACCGGAAAGACTTTGAGCAGCAGCAACAAGTACAACAGCAGCAGCAACAACAACAACAGCAACAGCAACAAACAACAGCAACAACACAGCAACAACACACAACACAACAAACAACACAACCACAACCACAACCACAGACACAGCCACAGACACAACCACAGGCACAACTACAGACACAGCCACAGCAGCAACAACAACAACTACAACAACAACAACAACAACAACAACAACAACAACATCAGCAGCAACAGATGCAGCAACAACAACAACAGCAGCAGCAGCAGCCACAACCACAGCAACAATTGCAGCAACATGTTCATATACCGCAGCCTTCAGGAAAATCGTCAGTGAAGGAGCCTTACACAGGCTCACAAGTAAGTACCATACTTTTATTATAATTTTTGACTGTTTGTCTATCAAGTGCTGATTAAGATACTTGTCTCTTTAGGGTGTTTTAGTTATTTGACATTTATGCAAATATAGAAAATGCTTGGAAAAGTCAGTTTTCAATTTAATGATTTTTTATAGAGACAGAATGATTTCCATATCTAGATTAGTGTAATAGAAGATGATAGAAGTATTAACGTGAAGTCTGTGGTAGTGTTGTTGTTTTAGATGAATGGCACTTTAAAATGACAGTTTTCTCTATCTGTGAAGAGTACGTACAGCTACGAAGAAAAATGTTAGGCTTTGGATTTTTTCTGGAAAATTTATACAAAATATAATATTGACTGAAAAGATAGATTAAAGCCAATTACTGATACCCTTGTATTGTGACAAGGCGTAACACTTGGTGTTCAGCCCTTTTTAGAAAGGGATTGATAAATGCTTTTATCTCTAACCCAGTGGCCCTATATGGCAAAAATACATTCCATATCCATGGTAATTTTGATTTGTTAATTATTTGTTCATATAGATGGCTCCACAAGTGCTTGGTCACCAAGAGGTCAGTTATGAGTCCTATCTGTCTCACCTGTTAACCCTTTTTATTGTTATTGGCATTTAAGTAATATTATGATAATCATGTTATGAATGACATTACTATCAGTACCCAATACTAATAGTATAAGAAAAAAAAATCCCACAAATATAAGGAATGAGGAAATCAGGCACGGACAAAAGGGCTTGCACATTAACTCTGGGTGGCTGAGCATTCGTGGAGCCATCTGTGCGCGACAAAATTCACAAAAACTACAGTGGACAGTACATAACCGTAGGGCAATTGGGTGAAGTTATCGAGCATTTGTAATGATACCAAGAAGAAGAAAAAAGCTAGGTGGTTTGTTATTTTTATTTTATTTTGTTTTTTAAGTAAAGGCTTTTGCAATCCTGATTAAAGGAAAGGAAGTGTTTTGAATATTATTCTTTTCTCCATTGTGGCTCCATTACCTTCTCTTCTTCCACTATCACAGACAACTTTATACCTGGGTCCTGTGGCCAGTGGTCTTCCCTTCTAATTTATTCTGTAGTGTATTAGGTTGTTTTATATAATATGTAAGCAATGCAGGAACATGTGTGAGCATTGCATATTTAATACTTGATATTATGAAGATTTCTACATATTCAAATAGTATTGAAATGATAGATCACAGGAAAAACATTGAGGTACCTTTGTGATTTATATTTTCCCAATATGCTTTGTAAAACATATATTGATACATGTATTTTGTATCCTTTGAGAATTCCAAGAGTGCCTTAACATTTTTCTATTACATGTCAGTAATAAGATCTTATACCTGGAAATTTGATTCATATGTCTTAAAAGGAGTTTAAGCAGTTAGAAAACAACAACTGAAAAATGGTCTGTCTGATGGCTGGAAAAATAAAACTAGATGTTCTAACAAGGATATATTGTAGCTCACTAAATACTCTACTATGCCATCTGCCAAGTAGCACATCATACATGGTTGCTAGAAACAGGCATGGAACAACAAGTTCAAAGAAGTTTTACTGTACCTAGCCAAGAATTCCTTAATGAATCTCTACAGATCTTTGAAACATGATGTTGACAAGAGAGAGAAGAAATGTTTAATCTTTCTGTCAGAAAGATATGACAGGTTAGGGCAATATCAAGCAAGTTTTTACTTCAGTATCCAATCATGTATTGTCTGCATTATTCAAGAAATTGATTTTTTTATCATATGCAAGAGACTGTAATCCCAAGAACTGAGAAAACTACATTTACAAGAAGCTTATCATTGTACTCATGAAGATTCCTCCATCTCATATGTTAAGATCAATGACTTGAAAATTACCCAATATTGTTCTAGGTATATCTGTTGAAACATCAATCTGTGTCCACTCCATGTTGAAAAGTGAGGTGGCAGAAAATAATTTGAATGAAACTATGAATAAGTAAATTATCTACACAGCTGGACTCTTTTGAGATACGTTACCAGTCCTTGTGCTAGAGCAGTTATCATTCCTGATCCTGATTGTATTCCAAGTTAAAATCTAGATCACTGCAATCAGTTTATGGTAAAGCCCATGAAACTCCTCAGAAATTTGGCTTTGTGAGAAACCTGACTAGATACAGTTGCCAATGATACTAGATAAGGAAGCTCTTAATTTTTGTTTGTGCCATATGCATTATATATTTTTTTAGAATTGTTTTTTGACTTGTGTGTTCAAGAAGAATGTCAAAGGTGATTTTGATTCATATCCATTTTGTTAGTGGACCATTCTTGAATAATAGTTTCTCTAAGGCGTCAGCAAGAGATAGGAAGCAGTTGGCTGTGTGTATCTGTAGTGAGTGGACATATGCACATGTCTATAGGGCTATTCTTTCTTGTCTTTGTAAAATGAAATAGCCCTCCAGCCACATCCAGAAGTTTCAGATATATTTACAGTTTTTAACCTCAAAAATATAACTGTTCCCCGTTTTAACGATACATGATTTGGAGATGTTCTTTGGTTTTGTAGCAATTGTGGAAAAAAATTCATTTCTTATAATCATTGCCTGTTCCAGTTCATGATACGAAACACCAACACATTTCCAAAACGCCGGACTACAAAACAATATCTTACACAGATGCATGTTCAGAAGGTAAGAAAACCATGAAAAGTACCATGTTACCTTATGTCACAAAAACACTAAAAACACGTACAATACTAACACAAGAAAAATGCAAAAAACTTCAGTTATTGAAAGAAAACTAAAACTATTAATACTCCAAGGGATCCAAACCACAACACTATAAATACTTGTTAAGAATGCACAATTCTGCTTTTGGGGCTTATACATAGAGATGTAGACGCTGTTATTATATGTGGTTTTTAACATTTCATGAACTGTGAAGTGGTGTCAAGACTGTAAACACCGTAGGCCATGTCAACAGCACCAAGGCTTTCAGACTGACTTATGCTGGACTAATTAACAACAGCTTTGGGTGGATCTGGAATAGCAGCATTATGACATTTATTTTTCTCTGGAGTGTCTTACTAATTCCAAAAGTACCCATGGTGTATATTAAGCAAGAGATATTCTCAGGCAATGACTATTTCTCCCCATTAGAAAATCCTCCAATACTTTCCCAATACAGCCTCACCTATAGACGATGCATTTCACCCGAAATAATTTCTTACAGCTCCAGGTAGGCAGGTTGGTGTACATTTTGGACACATGAAACATAACCATAACAGTCTTCACTCTTTTTTTTAACAGTCCATTGTATTTTTATGCTCTTTTGATTCTCTTCTTTTGTTTCTTTATTGCCAAGTTGCCTTATCCTCCTCATTGTCTTCCTTTTCCTTTTTCTCGTATGCATCATCTTCACTTTTTGATTTGCCCCTCTTATCATTTTTACTTCTATCCACAAACATCTTCCTGTGTCTTCAAACTTCAACAAAGACTGGAACAAAACTTTTTTATCTTCGCCTAAAATAGACTACAGTATCATAACCTAATGGTACATCAAGTCAGCTTTCTCAATCTCTTCTATACACAAACACATATATGACAGAAGAAATACTGAAGACTGATTATGATTAAAACTGCAACACCAAAAACTTCCTAGTAAATGCCATTCTTTCATTTTCTCTGTTGTGGCTTCAGTTTATTTAGGTGGCTTAACCCACTTATGATGGGTGTACCACATATGAGACCCCCGGTAAAGTAAACATTGCCGATTGTCCTGCCAGTGTGACGCCAGATCAGAGCATTCTGACTTTGTCGCTGAGGGTGGGCAGCGAGTGAGCAGGTTGCCGGACTTTCCTGTGTGCCGATTCTGAAGCCACCTGGAAAATATTATTTTTGGCGAATAAATGTACCGTCGCTAGTGGGTTTATGAAATAGTATATCAACCATCAAAGAAACGTAATAGAAGCTCTTATAATTTTACTCCTTTCTATTCCATATAGAATGATAGAATAGATTAGATAGGAACACATTGTAAAATATTTCCAGGTTTTCCTTTTAATATCTTTAAAAGTGCATATAGAATTTCAGATTATTACATTCTCAGTACCAAACACAACTGCAAAAGAAATTTTACAGACAGATAGATAGATAGATAGATAGATAGATAGATAGTAGATGGGTAGATAGATAAATAGATGGTAGATGGATGGGTGGATAGATAGATATGTAGATGAAGGGATAGATTAATAGATTGATAGATATAAATGAATATATTGATAGATATAAATACAGGTATTGATATAGATAATTATAAATACAGGCATAGATATAGATGTATAGATTGATGTGTGTTTATACATGCATACATATATATATATATATATATATATATATATATATATATATATATATATATATATATATATATATATATATATATACGCATAATCATCATCATCATCATTGGGAGCTAACAATGATGGGGGTGCATAACCACATCCACCCTTCATTTCCATTTCCAAGGGTCCTTCATGGCGAGTTCCTTACAACAGGTTTGATCAATAAGCCCAAGCCACGAATTCCAAGGTCGTCTCGGAATTATATATAGTAATTTTTTTGGATGAAGAAGTATTCTGCATCTAGAATATCTGTTCTTCTATGAGACTAGTGGTGCTAGAAAGTGATGAAATTTGTAATACATTAATTGCATAACCAAATTAAAAAGTAGCTCTTTATGTATTGTGTTGCCACTTTCAAATGTGATATACTTGTCTGTTCTTTCTTGTTAAGGTACTCTTTTGATGCTCCAGAAGTCAGTGTTCAGTGGTAATACCAAGGCATGATCTTTGTTGGTTTAGCATTATGGGAGAAGATCAAATTGTGCAATAAGGTTTGTGATTATTGGAAAGATTAGTCAATGTAGACATGATGGAGGAAGAACTGGAAAGATTTTAAGAATTCTGAAATTTAAGTGTAATTATTATGGTGCTCTTTTTGAAGTGGCTGCCTGACTCCAGGACCTGTCACTAGATGGCAGATAAGACTTGAAAGGGACTTATTGTAATGAGTCATTTTACTTAGCGTGATTTAACTGCTGTTGATAAAAAGCAATTAAGATGAAATTGCTTTTGTCAACTTGGTCAGTCATTCATCCCATCAACTGACTTCTCTGACCTAGTTGTAAGTGTTTATATAGTTAACTCTTTCTGACAGGCAGTCTTGGACTTGTACCAGGAGGTGAAAGTATGACTATAATTTAAATATTCCATAGGTTTGTCTGAGACACAGGGTGTCAAGTCCACGTCCTCTTAAGCGATTTGTTGTGAGTACAACTCTTCTTGCCTTTGCGACTGGCTCAAAACTTCATAGATATTTTTGCACATGAGAGCATCTCAGACCATTCCTGGTTGCTGATCCTCTTATCCTTTCAGACTTTCTACCTTTTCTAATGCTATTACTCTTCTTGTCTTGCTTGTCTTTCCCTTTATGACCAATATAGTGCTATGTATTAACTGATGGAAGTGAAGGGGTATATCCTTTATTTTACTATAACTTGGATAATTTCCTTTGTTGTAAATAGTCATAATATTTTTTAATGTTCAGGGAAGAATGCTCTTGATTTTAATAATTTGTGGATAATTTCCTTTGTTGTAAATAGTCTCAATATATTTAACGTTCAGGGGAGAATGCTCTTTATTTTAATGATTTGTGACAGATTTAACTTAATTTCAATAGATAGATTCATTGATAATATTGAGTTTAATTGCAATTTAACTCCATAAACTGATGAACAGATAAAGGAAATAAGAATTCAGGAAATTTTGAAGATTCTACAGGGATTGCATTTTGTGAAAAAGAACACTTTGATTACTCCATAAAGGACAGAAGAGCTTCAAGAGTATTGCAAGTTGTTATAAGTTTTGGATATCTTATAATTTGAGGTACATATTATGTGTTTTATGATGATCAGTAATGATTTTGGTGTTTTACCATGAGATTATTGAAATTTTATGAATACTTTGTAAGACTTCAGCAGTGACGTACAAGGAAACAGTGAATTTCATGATGCACTTTTGGGTATTGTGCTATGGTTCTGCAGAACCTTGTGAGTCTAGTCAGTGGATTGAAGATAAGGAAATTTTCTTAATATTTTATTCTGAGAATGAGGTAACTTCCTCTGCAATTTACAGTAAGCATTAGGGATATTATGAATATTATAGGGTTGTGAATATTAGAGGATTATGAGCATTCTATTTTAATGAACACATAAATAATATTACATGAAATATATTGTAAATAGTAACAAACTGTCAGTATTATCTCAGCCAAGTTAGCAGTTAAGAAACTGTTTGTAATACAGGTATAAAAATATTTTAAAGATAATGCTTACACCTATACATGTGTGCATTTGTCTGCACCCACACCCAAACCTGTGCACAGCCACTGAATGTGGTCTACAGGTGTGTATGATAGAGCACATATGATGGTGTATATAGATATGAGTGTATGAGAAATGTATATATTTAAATTTAGCATGCATTTGCCTTTACAGAGTTGCATAGCATGGTAATCTTGGAAGTATAGTGATTGCATATTGAGTGCTATAAACTGAACTGAGTTCTTAAAAAGAAAATGTGTATATAAATATGATAAGGGATTATTGTAACTATTTTCTGATGCACTGATTAAGACACATGAAAATATAGCTATTGAAACTATAGGAAGATGAAGTTTTGTAGAGAAAAAAGCATAATGAAAACTACAAATTTCAAATAGAAAAGAGTGAGAAAGGGGGAGGGGGAGAGACAGAGAGAAAGAGAAGATCAAGGCACTTGCATGTCCTAGCTTCTTGGATGGGACCAGCTTATGGCATGCAAGCTTCAAAGATGTGTGGGAAGTTGTAATGACAGTACTTTTTTCATCTTTTGTTGTTAGGAATATTGAGCTGTCAAACTGGCTCTCAATTATGGTATCTACTGTCATTGTTCCTCATCCTGAAATAAGAGTCTGTGGGAGGTGCTTTGCACAGATTTTATCACATGTGCACTTCTGCATGCACTTGCTTGAGCACAAATCCACCAAGAGAGGAAGGGGAAAGAAATGATAAAAAGAGAGGCAGAAACAAAAGTGACAGCTGAGTTAGGGCTTAAGAAAGAAAGGAGAATTGGGTTGAATGAATATAGGATTAAATGAATGAGTATTGAACAGTTGAAATAGTAAGGGAGCAATTGATGTGAATGAACGAGTGTGAATTAGAGAATGGAAGATTGAGAGTGTGAGGGTATGAATGTGAAAGTGAATGTGAATGTAAGGATAAGTGTAAGTGCAGGTGTGAGTGAATTAATGACTGAGTGAGTGAGTGAGTGAGTGAAAGTAAGTAAGTAAGTATGCGTTTGTGTGTGTGTGCATGTGTGTGTATCTGTATGCGTGTGTATGTGTGTGTGTATGTCAGTGTGCATGTGTGTATGTCTGTGTACATGTGCATGTATGTGTATATGTATATGAGAGAATGTAAGAGAGAAAAAAATGTTAAAAAAACAGAAAATGAGAACATAATAAGAAACAAAAATGCTAATCATCACTCACGACTGTTATACAGTAGTAGAGGAAGAACAGTTAGGCATAAGAAAAATAAAGTAAAAGATGATTACCATTAAATTTGCATTTGTGATTAGATCTGAATTTAGCTGAAGTATTGCCAGGCAGCATTCAAAAGGGGCTTTGTCATGGCTTTTTATTTATTTATTTATCTATTTATTTGTGTATACCCTTTTGATACATAAATATACAGCTTCACTGAGCTTTTGTCTGATTATTTTTTCTTTAGTTTGCCCTTTATAGTACACGGATTGCAGAGAAGGATAAAATTAATCCTACATTCTGAAAATCTTTATGAAATGATTTTATTCTTTTAGTTGTTTTCTTTGTATTAGACTACATATAACATTTTTGTTCAGGACATTAGTGCCGGTAATAAGACTCTCAATAGCTTGCTACTGTATCTCAATAATGGGGAAATGTAATAGAGAGTCATATCATCCTATGAGGCCTTGTAAGTAAAACCAGAATATAAAACTCACTATCTGCCCTTAGACCTGCATGAGCCGCAGCCATCCCTGCATCGAGGATGGCTTTTCGGGAGATGGGGGTGGAAGCATGACCTCACAGCTTCCTCCGCCACCTCCGTCAGGCATCAGCTCTTCAGTCTACCACACCCCGCCCACCACGCCTCCTTGTACCATGTGCCACGTCCCTTATTCAGAGACTTCACTGCCCTTCCGAGTCAAGATTACAAAATGTGTGGTATGCAGGTAAGTTGAAAGTCATTAGTGCTTTGGGTTGACTGATTCTTATTTATTTTTTTTTTTATTTATTTTTAAAGCTTTTAGGGGCAAAGGCACACAGTTCACAGTTGATCTTAAAACACCCAGATCCAATGGGTTAAGGGAAGGTTCAGGGTATATATTTCTTTTGTATGTAGTCTAAGATGATAAAACATTAGATATAAGAATTGAAATTATAGGTATGTCAAGCTAATTTTTTCCTGGTTCCCACAGAAAAGGAAAGGTGCCTGACGTTTTGTTCACTACTCTAGAGCCACCTGCAGGGATGCCAATTACAGGTAAAGCATACAGATTCGCTCTTTTTATCAAATCTGTACTTACGTATGCACACCCACACCTACTCCCACACTCGCATTCACATCTCTCTCTCTCTCTCTCTCTCTCTCTCTCTCTCTCTCTCTCTCTCTCTCTCTCTCTCTCTCTCTCTCTCTCTCTCTCTCTCTCTCTCTCTCTCTCTCTCTCTCTCTCTCTCTCTCTCTCTCTCTCTCTCTCTCTCTCTCTCTCTCTCTCTCCCCTCTCTCTCTCCCTCTCCCCCCCCTCCTACATAAACAGAATATGAATGGATATTGTAACTTTCATTAATGTTTTTGTTTTCAGGGAGAGGTTGTCTGATCCAGGCTCGAGTAGCAAGACCTAAGCGTGACTTGAAAGGGGAACTTAATGCAAAAGAAATCTCTGATTCATTACCTTTTCTTGAATACGAGTTACATAAGCAGCTAATGAACAAAATGAAGGTATGTAATGTCTATATGTTTTCTTGTTTGAGAATTTTTTTGCTGTGTCACCCTCCTTTTTCTTTCTTTTATTTGTTTAGGATGTATTGTAACAAGATTAATAGATTAAGTCAAGATTTTTTTTTAATATTCTTTTTATGGGAAGGTCATTCACAAGATGAAGTAGTGCTAATATATTTTATTAATCTATTTCTGAGACAGACAAGTTCTTATTATTTCAGATCAAGGGCATGAATGCACTCTTCGGTCTGCGAGTGCGAGTAACAGTAGGAGAGCGTCTCATTGTAGGTGTTGCAACAGCAACAGCAGTATTTCTGACTGCTCTTCAGCCACCACCAGTCCCAAGGGTAACATCTGCAAGCTCTTGCCGGGAGGAGGAAAGACGTAGAGTGGATGTTCAGAAACTTCTTCTTAGTACAATAGCCAGAAACAAGGAATGTTATGGCACCAAGCACATCATCTCCGTGAGTGATATTTTAGTTAAATCACTTTTGTGTATCTTTGCTTTTACAGAAAGCTTGAAGATGTGTGAAGTGATAGGCATATCACTTCACATATAGTTTTATCTTTATTAAAATTTTACACATTATTATTCTATGGTATATAAATATCTACTCCTCTCTGTTTCTTTAAACTAGAACTGCATGCTTAATTATTTACCATAATGACTCTTATCTTGTTATCAGTGTCATAACTTGACATATTTAGGATTCTTGATTACATATTTAACATTGCATTGATGTATCTCTTTTTACAACTTATAAGTAATTTGCACAAGAAGCATGTATAGGAATTTATGGTATTTTAGCCCCAAGAATATTGATAAGGTCAGTATTTGTTTTACTGATCATGTTATTATTTGCAAGCTGAGAAAACAAATTTTACCTCACAATCACACCTTAAATGAAAATATCTCTATACCAGACTTGGGATCTGTAACCAAGATAAACAAGATTGTGGAACGCTTCTTAACTTCAAAGAAGAGTGGAGTTCTTTTAATATTTCCACTCATTTTTACTGATGTTTTACTTTAGATTTAATAAGTTTTGATTTAACTTCACATGTATGATCTTTGTAAATAGATAGTAATATAAAATAAAAGGATTTTTCTTTCATGTTAGAGCTCAGTGCCTTTCTTCCCTTATTGGAATCCTTTTATGGTTGGTAGAGATCACTGACTTTTTCCTTTGCTCCTGAAGGATACCATGGGAGATGAGATGAATGGTGGTCGTGGATCAGATTCTGAGGACTCAGAAGATGATCTTCCTGAGATTGATCTTTCCTCGGGCAACAAAGACACCTGTGTTTTAGAGGTCAGTTTTGCTTTATTCATTGATAGTAGATGTTAGGATAGATATATCATAGTGACTAATGCTTTGATTACAGAGGGTGCTTTTTAAACTATATTACTTCTGCTATTACAGTTGTGGACAGTAGTAAGTCATACAGATTCATATTTATTTAGGTAAATTGTTCTTTTAACCCATGAACTGGATAGTTTTCTATTTTACACCACCCCAGGGTGGGTAATAGACCACAAAAAATCTTTTTCTTTAGTTTAAGGATTAGCATTCATGTATTTTGCTGATTATTGAGTGTAAATAAAAACTACTGAAAGGTGTGACAGGATAAAGAGTATACTTGCACAAAGTTACTTATGTGTCTGGCTAGCTCAATGGTAACAGACCTGCCACTTGGATGACCCACATTGGAGCTAGGTTCATGGCACAGGAATGTTTCCAGTATTACCAAATGCTAGTATCCCTGAAACAAGCAGGGCATGGGGGATGGGGTTACAGCAGCCATAGCCCAGAATGAATTGCTCCCATGTGGATGGAGAGGGATTTTGGGGTGTATTCCATGACATATGTGCCATAGTACTTGCATTGCTCCTTTGCTCTGTCACACATGGGTGACCTTTAAACCTTTAAGACTTTAAACCTACATCAGATTGGTTTTGGATGTAAAATCATTATTGGTGAAGAATATGGGTATCTATTATTATACATCCAACTTGAGAATGGTGACAGTACAATTGCTAAGTTTTGTCTTTTGTCTTTAGATGAATTAAATACATAGAATAAGATTGATAATATTTGAATATTTAGATATTTAAATGAATATTTAGATATTTAGATAGATATTTAGATATTTAGATAAATATGTAAATAGAATAAATAGATAAATAGAAGTAAATAGCTTTTTCTTATGACTGCTGCTTGTGAGTGTATATTCACAAAAAGTACTGTGATAAAGTTCCAGTCCAAAATAATTTTTGACATGGTATTTGTAGTGTATGTTTATGGAGTAAAGGTAAGGCAGGTAGTAGTGACCATCCTTGTGTTAGGCCTTGGTCTTCTTTTACCCCTCAGAGACAATTTGTTAATTGTTACCCTGGTGCAAACTCCGTGACAAAAGTTTGCTAATTTCCGATTGGATTTACTTTCACTTGGAGATTTAGGGAAGTGGGTTTCCTCATTGCAATTATGTTTTTTATGTGTTTTATTGTGTTCGTGCTTTTCTGTTTCCTCTAATGATTTGCCTTGTAATCCCACATACCTGGTCCCAAGTCCAGGAGCTGTCTCTAGACAGTGGGGAGAGGGAAGGCTACAACAGACAAAAGCTTTGAGGGGTAAAGTTGGCAAAGTGATTCAGGTGCGTGGTTAACCCCTTGAATCTGGTTGCTTCTTGGCAATCACACAGTTCAAAACAAGGGGATTAGGCTAACACGAACAGCCGCTCTGACTGGTATATGGTATGTAGGTTGGCCACAAACATGTGTATGGTGATAGGACTCTCTGCCTCTCTTTTGCAATGTTATTTTCATGTTTTATCCGTAAGTGTTTTTAGCTTTCTTTCCCTTTTCCAGTGTCCTTATTTGTCATTTGATTTGCTTTATCCAGAATGTAATAGACTGTTTTTCTTACACAGACTCTGTATCATCCTGATAGGTAACTCAGTGTAATAGAAATAAAAATATGTAAGATTTAGTTATTTGTGTAATTCTTAATTTTTTGTAATATTTAATTTTCTGTAATACAATCTGTGCTGCTGTTCATGGCAGCCAGTTATAGGATGCTGAACATGAAAATGGTGTCCTCCCTGGAGCCGGCACTCTTCCAGTCGTGGCTCACGGACACTACGTGCCGCACTCGTTTATCGATGTGAATAATGCAAAAGCCCCTTTCTAAGTGCCAAATGAGTCTAATTTCCCTCCATGAGATTTGTGCACTTGTGGCCAGTCTTCTCCATCACCCCAGCAGCCTTCAACCAAAGCGCCCATGACGGCAAGTTCATGTCACCCACCTCTCAAGCAAAATTTTTTAATGACATGAAGGTCACATCATCCAGATCGAAGGGATTAAGTTTAAGGAATGGTTGTAGATATTTGTATATTTGTCTGTTCCTCCTTGCTATTTTTATTTATTTATTAAAAAAACAAAACAAATATTCATGTCCTATTTTAATTCATGCCAGTGTTCATTAATTATAGCTGGATGATATGGAAGATGCAGAGATGATTGGAATGCTGGTGGAAGGTTGTCAGCCCGACCGTCTTGTGGCAGTGTCAACAGAGATTCCACCAGGGGTCCCCAGAGAAAACATAGTGAGGAACTTGCAGATGTTCACCAGGGTTTGGAGAGCAAAAGTTCCTGCTACAATGAATCATAGTACCTTCAATCAGTATTTTGACAAAATTCTACAGGTAAGGAAGGGATACAAGTGACACACACACACACACACACACACACACACACACACACACACACACACACAGATACACACAGACACACACAGACAAACAGCTAGACAGAGTGTGTCAGACTGCCAGTCAGTCAAGACAGTTACTCTGTCTGTTAAACAGATAGACACAGACTAAGAATTACATAAGAAGACAGAGAAAGATATTCTAAAGCATAAGAATGTATGTGATCAGACAAAGAATTACATAAGAAGACAGAGAAAGAGATATTCTTAAATATAAGAATGTATGTGATCATTTGGTATGCTTCACATGTTACATTTTGTAAGTATTCTAATGCCTGACATTGTGCTGCAGAGTGTGTACTTCAAAGTCCGCAAACTGGCGCCCTGCATACTAGCAGGCTTGCAAATCAATGTAGAGCTGCCAGAGGAAGACGAGTTACAAATTAGCCTTTTAGGAATGGTCCTTGGGGAGGGAAACCCAGCACAGTCAGTACAAGGTGGTTCACAGTCTGGGACTCTGGATGTGCCCTTCAAAAAGTCTAAGCAAGGTAAGGAAGAGCTCTTGGCTACTAATATGTTTGACTGTAATACTTGCAGATTTTGTGCATTTACTATATTTTTCAGAAAGAATTTCCATCAATTACCGAGTATGTTTCATATTCTCCTTATGTTTCTGTTCCAGATGATGGGGAATTGATATTCAAAATGGAGGAACTTTTACCCTCCAGTGATGATAGTACAAAGCATAAGCCTCCAACTCACCCAGCCCAGAATCTCGTGATGTCCAAGCAATCCACATCATCAATAACAACTGTGCCATCAATGCCATCTATTTCATCCGTTGTATCCATGAGCTCCTCCACTTCCTCAGCACGGTCATCCACCAGATCCAGGAATGAACAGAAATATATAACTTATCATGTAAGTGGACCCTCGAAAACTACAGAGGGAGTTCTTGTGTGTGATGGTCTTGTAATTGATTTGGATATTTTTGGCCTGCCAGGCTTCAATTACAATAAAAGTGGTGGTAGTTCACCATGTGCATATATATCCTGAACTTTTATATTCCTTAAGATGAAGATAGGTCTGATACCTTGTTCTACAAACTCTACAGCAACCACCAAAAGAGAGATATGGAGTAGAGATCACTCCCTTGTCTCACATTCCTGGGGCTCGAATAGAAAGACATCTAGGAAACCTCAATTTCTTCTTCATTAGAGAATCTACTAGTATTAAGGAGGTAAGTATTTGATATCAGTGGTAATGGTTGTAAGAAGCAGTTGATATCAATGAGAAATGAAGTGTATAATGTAAGTACACAAAGTAAGTCAGAATAGTTATACTTAAGATATTAGTTGTTATTTCATTGCCCCAGTATTCTTTTTTACAAGTTTCCATACTCCTCAAGACTAGTTGAGGTATATTACCAGAGTTGGCGGTTACTCAGGTTCTTTTAGACTTTTAAATTGTCCTCTACTTTTATATTTCCATACTTAAAAGTACCAGTCACTGCAATAACCATTAGCATCTCTAGCAGTTACTTGTCAATAAAATGTTTGAGAGAAAATAATAATATATATTGCTGTCAGTAATAGCTTTTAGGTAATTTTCCTGACAGTTTTTGTAAGTAATAACCTTTTGTTTATAGATTTGTAAATGGAGGATGATATTAAATTCTGAAAGTTTGAACAGTACCTCTATACTTGCTGAAATACTCGGAAAAAAGTACTCTTGTTGAAGTGGTAGTATTTTTAACCCATTGCTGCCAGGAACATGTAATGTCCAATTCCAATTCCACCAAAAAATTAATGAGTAGGCCTACCTGACCTCATATGATATCCCCATTCTTTGAGTTTATAGGAAAAGTATTACTATTACTGTCACTGTGATTGATTGTAATGTTATTATCAATACTAATAGTGATAGATTATAAAAATGTTATTTAAAAAAATAAAGGAAAAGGGTAAACAGGTGATATAACTAGGACTAGTAGTTGACTCCTTGGTGACAAAGCACTTTTGTTGCCATCTATGTGTAAATACAATAAATAAGCTAAAATCACAGAGGACATGATGTTTATGTATAAGCCATCTCTGATAGCAGTGGGTTAAAATTGATTGTCAACAGTAAAAGTTTGAATCATTAATTCTAATCTTTTAAATTTGTTATGAAGAGTAAATGTTTAGATCTCTGTTTAAAATGATAACTTCTAAAAATGTTTATCATTCATTTTACTTATGCTTAATTATGCTTATATTTTGGCAAATTAGAGGTATAAGAAGTTACAATTGAAAGTCTATTCATTTTAAGATTTAGTTTACATGAATTTTTTTTTTTTTTTTTTTTTTTTTCTTTATCAATAATGATATTGAAGATGTTATAGATGTATTGAGGAATGTTTATAATTTTGTATTAATAATAAACTTAAGAAAGATATTACAATGTCTTTTGACTTACTGATAAATTTCTTAAAACAGTGCGGTGGTCTGAGTGGCTTCATGGGAAGTTTTGTGACTGAGGTCTTAGCCTTGGTACGTGCGCATGTTGCAGCTTTGGGTGGTAATGCCATGATTGCTTACTTCATGTCGGAGTGCGTTTTGCTTCATAATCCTTACAAAAATCAGGTAAGTTGGTATTTATTATTTTAGTTGCTTATATGTTTATCTCATGTTGCAATACATTATTTCCTCTTTAGCATTTCCTAATTTTTTTCTTTCTAACATTTGCATAAATATGAGTTTACTTCATTATGTGTAAATAGTAATAAAGTCATTGAGTAGTGGGCACACAATGTATATTTCTTTCCTTCGCTCTTTAGATATTTAATAGTAGTAAAAGGAATGAAGTACATTAATGATGAATGAAGGACAGAAATATATTTTTAAACTTTCAGGGTCAATGTTTAATCAACGTTGGAGGTGATGTTGTTCAGGTTGTATACAGCGCAGCTACAGCACTCCCAGAGGCTTCAGCGGAAGAGTAACATAAAAATTACACTTGGAAAGCTTCTGTTTACATATCGAATCCTTTTACGAGATTATAGTGGATGCTAAAGAAATATTTTAACAATAAGTTATATAAAATAAGAGTATATTAATTTGAAAACAAAAGTTTTGCAAGTATTTGTTAAATATGAATGTTATGCAAATGAAGAAGAAATGTTTATTTTTTGCTATTAAACGTATTTGTGTTCCAAAATATATATAGTTTTTGTTATAAGTATACAAATATAAAGGAATAATTATTGTCATAAAAGAAATTGACTTTTAAATAATGAATATAATTTTCACTCCTTTTACAATGGTCAGAGCAGCTGAATATGTTTAAAAGGAAATGTTAAGATGTGAAGTTGATATATGATGATAGTCTTCTAAGATGTACAGGTTTAATGTTAACAACTGCAGATATATTACAAATATGTCTCATGTATTACTTGAAATTCATTTTTAAACTTAAAAGTTTAGAACAGTCCAATTGTAAATTAGATATATGTATATATTTGAATTGTTGTGCATGTGTAAGTATTATACACATCTGTATATATATTACTGTTTACTATTTTAATAATATTTCTTACCTAAATTAGTTGATACTAACATTCTGAGAGACTAATAAAGTTCTCTGTATCTTAGATGCTTCCAGTGGAATTATAGCACTGACTTGAGAATATAAAATGCCAACATATACATTAATATAAATGCAGGGATAATTACAAAATTATTACCAAGTTGAATGAAATTAATATTTGAGAGTGTTTGAGCAGTGAAGTGATGCATTACTTGGTAAGCATTACAACTTGTCCTTGTGAAAATGCCATAAATGTGATAGAATGCTCAGTAAGGTATCCCTTACTCATTCCTGACTCATGTCCCAACGAATATGATAAATATGTGCTGAGTAGGCACATAAACATATGCATTCATAGTCTGATACATTTTCCTAATTTATGTTGTATATATTATTTAGTCTAATGAGTGTTAGTTATTTAATTTGCAACTGTATCCTATATCAAGTGTTTTTTTTTTTGTTTGTTTGTTTTACAAAGATCATTTTTCATACTGTAAAAATTTGGTGAAGGTATAAAGATCTAATTGTGACATTTCCTGGCTTGAAGGAGACATAACACGCTGCATTCCTCGCCAAGAACATGAAAAGAGTCATTGCAAATTGTTCTTACCTTAGTGACTTAATGAGGGATTAGAATGCTTGTGACTTGGTATCCATTTTGTAATTAATTATGTAATACCATAATCCCCTCTGTATAAGATGATTATTGTGGACATGATACTGTGATATTCTTATAGAATACATATTGTATAGCAAGTGTGGAGCCAATACTGGATTTAGGGGCTTCATCCATTCACATAGATAATTATTGGAAGGAATTGTAATATATAAAAATTCTCTGGAAACTTGGTAATGTGCCTATGATCTAGCTATAGAGAGGAAATTTCTTTAGTATATGAGATTATTTGCTGATCTGAACCTGGATATTTTGTGGCATTAAAAAATGTAAATGTTTTGGGTAATGAATAGCATAGATTGACTTCTTGTATATAGAGTATTTTCACATTTTGTATTTTTATGATAGCATAGGTCCATCTAATGCAATTAGAAGTTGTTAAGATATGTTACTATAGTACCACATCAATAATTACTGAGTGCCAGTCTTTTGAAAGTTATCCATAAAATGGTGGTGGTTGTGGGAACATAATGAGGTACATCACTCTATTTGGTCGTATATACCATTAAACAGAATCTCGTCTTTATGGATCTACAAGGCTTTTAAGCTCTTTGTCCAGTTCGCTATTTCCTTCACTTGTGGATATTATATATTCACTCATGTTATAAAGGGGGTAAACATTTATGCTGGTTTATATTACCAGCTTTGAATTACCATATTTTATTGCTACTCTAGACTATATTTAGTATAAAGTTAAACTTAAACTCCTCTATCAACATCTTTCAAGACATTTATATAATTAAATCAGTATGCTTTGTGCAGCATTTGCCATCATGGGTCTGTTTCAACGATTACTTGGCCATGCTATATGTTATGCTCAGCAAAATTTGTCTTCATTTCTTAGTGGTGTTAATAACAAGGAAGCAATACAATATGTAGATAATTTAAAATAACTATGTAGAATTTTTGCTCAATTTATTGTTACACATCGACATCTGCATCTTCACCAGTAGGTGTATATTTCATTCTCTTATCCACTTATCCTTATTGGATAAGTAAACAGGCCCAGACTCACACCTGCTATCACGCTACCAACACGCACACGCACACCACACGCACACACGCGCACACACAAACACACACACACACACACACACACACACACACCACACACACACACACACACACACACACACACACACACACACACACACACACACACACACACACACACACACACACACACACACACACACACACACACACACACATATACACACCAGATGCTTATGCATGGCACATATTTCATTTGAGCAAAAAATGGAACTACCCCCCCCCCCCTCCTCACCTATGTGAGCATGCTTATTTGCATTTGCATATATATATTATATATATATATATATATTATATATATATATATATATATATATATATATATATATATATGTGAGCAAAAAATGGAACTACCCCCACTCCCCCCCTTCCTCCCTCACCTATGTGAGCATGCTTATGTGCATTTGCATATATATATATATTCACAGTCCTACATGCACACTCACACACTATGCGCATAAAAGATATGCAGATTTATTTATTTATGTAAACACATTTGATTATCGCAGTAATTTAAATATTGTAAAGGTGCTCATAGTGACCATTTTGCTGAGTAATATTATATAGTATGTAGCATATTTTCCTGGTATTAATGTAATAGAATAAAATTACAAGTCCTTTTAGTGACTGAATAGCTCATTGTATCTTCTATTTCAGAATAATAAAGGTTAGGAAAATGTAGTAAAATAATTGCCATACATAGTATATGCTGATTTTCTGATTCAGTTTTTTCTTTGCTGTGTATTTTTAGAAAAATTGTTTGCATTTTATAATTATTTTTTGATGGTGAAAAATATTTTTATGAACCTTTGTGCAAAATTTGAAGTAAATCAATATAAAAGAATTTTATTATTATGGCACATGTATGTACATGAAGTTGTGTGAAATGGGAAATATTAAATTATAGAATAAGTCATTACATACATATATATATTGGTATCATAGTATATGACTATACTGGAAGCAAATTATATGAGCATCATTATGAAAAAGTCAATGCAGATATACTGCTTCGTTATAGTAGCTTAAGGTTATAATGGGAATTTTGTAGATCGATAGGAAAGAGATCATTATTTATTTTTTGTAATGTTATTAGCACTTTCAGGTTCAATGACACTTGTTTCATCTTCTAGAGATTTGCAATGGAAAGATAAGTATGAGTAAAGACTATAAATAAAAATGAATATACAGAATATTTAACATTTTCAATTTTGTATTTTCAGTGGTGTCAAAAGTGATGATGTTAAGAGTGTCTTATTGTGATTATTCGTGGCATTTTCAGTCTCTGTCTATAAGTGTGTTGTTGTAGAGTGTCAATGAACTTGAGAGCATTAAAAGTATTGTTAACTAGAGTCCTTGTTCTTATTCTTGTTCTTCATTACAATATCTGGGTTTAAGCAGATGAATCTGTTTCTGATAAGGAAGAATATATAGTAATGGTATATGATCTGGTAAATATATTTGATGACATACATTCATCTGATTTTGAACTCATCCCCTCAACTAGATGTTAATTTGATTTTAATTTGTTGCTTATCATAGCCATTTCTTAGAATGTTAAATTACATGAGCATTTCTTGCATAAATTCCAGAACTAGGCTGTACATAAAACCTCAGATGCATGTTTGAGCCTTTACTAGCATCATTTCATTAATTGAAAACTCAGTGACGAGTCTACAAAAATTGGATTTTATATTTTCTGGTAATTTCCAAAAGTTAATCTTGCTTACTACACAATAAAGTCTGTATTACTGAAAGTACAGATGTGGTTATTCTAACACAGAAAATTATCAAGGAACATAAAATGCCAAATAAATAGATAACTAGAGTACGAAGTTGAATTTCTGCTTGTTTTTTTTTTTATATATCTACAGACTACTACATTGTTTACAGAAAGGACTTTCATAGTCAGATTACAAAAAAACTAAATGCTAATTTGTATTTTCTGCAATACCTCCCATACTTTCCTTCATAGTTTGTAGAATTTTTAGCTGTCAATAAATCAGCAATATTACTGATTCTCTTTATTTTAAATACCATAAAATATAAAGAATAAAGTAATATATAAAATAGAAGAATAGTGACTAAAACTGAGATCCCTTATATGACTTCTAAATGAAAAAGAAATTGAGAGATAAAGAAAAGAAAATCAAAAGATCGCTGTCCCGCTCCTCCACAGGGAAACAATGGAAAGATGAAACGAAAAGCCACAAGTATAAAGAAAATGGTAGACAATTATGAGGTTTTGTTATCAGATATTGTTATATACATATATTGATTTCTATTGTCATTATCACTATATTTGTTATTTATTTGACAGACTATTTGGTTAAAGGATAAAGCACAGAAAAGCATTATTATGCTTGTAAAGAACCCTCTAGCCTTTTCTTTGGGAAATATATATACACACACACACACACATAAACACATATATACATATATAAACAAATATATATACATATACAAGCACATATATATACATATATACATATATGAATATATAGTATATGTATATTGTATATTATTATATTTTATTTATAAATAAATATATCTATATATATAAATATATGCATGTGTGTGTGTGGGGGGGGTGCGTGTGCGTGCGAGTGTGTGTGTGTGCATGGGTGTCTTTGTATAAAAGCTTGTAATTGACTATAAAGTATGTTGCCATTGGTTCTCAACATACTGAAATACTAAAAATACATGAGAACTCTCTTATATACATATGGTGTCATATATGGTTTGTCAAGATATATATATGGAAGACTGATTTTGAGTGGCATATCTTCTACACAGACAAATGCATTTTATCACTTTAGGGATGTTGTGGATTTTAAAAACAGTGGAAAGTATGTGGAGTTGCAGCAGGAGAGTCTTTTAACACAGCTGATAGAAAATAAACAAAGACATATATTTTCATTTTTTTCTCATCGTGGTCTACTTGTCAAGCCTCCTTTTCCAGCAAGGCTTTCACAGTATGCTTAACACATGCATTGCATAATTTTGGCAGGTCACACCTACTGTAATCTGAAAAACACAAATGTGTCTAGATGTTCCCTCTCAATCAGATATTCTTTGACCTCAACAGATGTCTTAAATAACACATTGGATAACCTGTCTGCAAGAGACCTGAGCTATTGAAACAGACAACTTTTCTACCAGACATCAACAAATCTTCCTGTTTTCTGATGTACAACGATGGAGATTGTCAGCTCTGTAAAACTCAGTACTCCTCAGTACACTACTTTTCTAAAACCTCTTGCAATTGATGTATAATTTCCGAATAAGTAGGTCTTGATAGTGGATCATGCCCCCAGCACGCTAACATCAAATTATACCTGAGAATATTAAAAGAAAAAAATCAGCATTACGATGAGGAGGAGGATGGAGTTCATGGCAAAACAGATACAGAGTTAATAAGACCTGTATATTTTTCCTCGGACCTGTACTTTCTTAATTTTCTTTATCATCTAGTATTTATAAATATATTTCAATTCAAGATAACTTCCATGTATTCTTTCAATAAAAAAAATCAAAATACCCTATTATTTCTACCATATGAAAAGTAATCCAGACTTACTCAAAGTCCTTGGCACATTTTGGCTTTTTGTTGCGCAATCCATTTACTAATTTGTCAATGAAGTCTGTTGTTACAGGTATGTCCGGATATGGAGTCGAACCAAGAGAAAATATTTCCCAAAGAACAATACCATAGGCCCAAATGTCACTCTTGATACTAAATGTTCTTTCACTTAGGGTCTCTGTTGCCATCCATTTTAATGACAGGGAGATCTGAAAAAATGAAAATCATACCAAATTCCAATATCTTTTTTATTCCACAATAGTTTAAAATATAAACATCAAGTGTATTTCATTATTTTAAAAATTTGTCAAAGATTCTCTTATTACATATTAACATACTGTAAACAGGTACATGTACTGTCAACTGTAGTTTCTGGTGAATTATATTGCACAGAGAGAGCTCCACAAGTGCTCAGCCCCCATG